GGGCGGGGGGGCGCTGGTGGGTCCCCCCCCCCCCCCCCATGCCACATGAGCACCTGCTGGCTCACCTCGTCGGCGTTGATGGCGGAGACCTCGGTGATGCCGGCCACCTGGACGGTGCCGCCGGCGTCTTCCCGCAGCTGCAGGCAGCCCAGTGAGGGGTTCAGCAGGTCCCGGATCGTCTCGTTGTAGATCTGGGCAAGGAGAAGGAGCTGGGCGCATCCCTCTCCCAGCGTGGGGACCCGTGGGGACACAGCGTCCCACGCTGGGCACAAAGATATTTGGCTTGGGGCCATGTGCCACTCGCTGTCCCCTGCCATTCCCGGGGAGGGGGACTGTCCCCCCATGCCCCTGCCGTACCTCGAGGTAGGACATGGAGACCTCGTACTCCACGTCACCGCTGGTGTCCTTGATGGCCTGGAAGAGCTCGCCCAGGGCGCGGGCGCAGATGCCAGGCTCACCATCGGTGCCCAGCATGGTGTAGGTCTTCCCGCAGCCTGAGGCAGAGGAGGGGACTCGCTCAGGGCTGGGACCCCCCCATGGCCTCGGGGCTGGCCCGCTCCCCAAGCCCACATCCCTCATCGGTGGGGCCGTAGGCAAAGATGGTGGCGTTGAAGCCAGAGATGACAACCGCGACGAGGCTCTGGGTGGTGGCACGGTACACAGTCTCCTGCGGGAGGGTGAAAGGCTCTGGGGTGCATCCTGCTGCCCCCCACCTCCACCCGCTGCCCTGGGCACCCCAGCCTGCCTCCCCCAGCCCCGCATCCCCCCCTCCGTGCCCCAAGGGACCCACCTGGGTGGCTGTGGAGTCAAAGGCCACGTCGAAGACGTAGGATTTCTCCCTGGAGCGGCTCGCATGCAGGACATCGTTGGGGTCTTGCATGGGGTCTCGCAGCACCACGACCTGCCAGGGGACGCAAGCGGGGCTGGCCGGGGGGCATGCAATGGTCTGGGGCACCCACCAACCCACTGCTCCGGGGTCACCTCCAGCCTCCCATGGAGGCACAGCATACTCTGGGCATTGCACCTGCCTTTAATGGTGCTAATTAGCACCTGATTGGGCTCTGAGGTGTAACGAGGTGCTGGGACCCGCATGGGCTGGTGGCATTGCGAGCACAGATTCCCCAGGACATGCATGGACAGACGGACGCACCAGGAGCAGCTCCGTCCTGGATGGTGGGCGAAGAGCCCCGAGCATCCTGCCTGGGCATCGCCTGCGTGCCCCACGGGGGAATGGCTTGCTCGGAGATGCATCTTCCCCCATGCTCCTGGCTGGGTATCCCACATCACCCACAGCAAAGACAGTGTGGTCAGAGCCAAGGAGGGGCACCCTGGCATGGGTGGGAACACTGGGATGTGCTCCCCAGTGGATCTGAGCCCTTGTGGGACCCAGTGGGCATCTCTCCCCTGCTTTGCCGGGGCCGACATCCCCTCCGTGCCGGGATGCAAGAGGTGCCCCGGCTGGTGCCGGTGCCGTCGGGCGCAGGGCCCTTTGTGCTCCTGAATTGTCCCATTGTCCCCAGGCCTGGCCAGGGCTCAAAGCCAGCTCTGCGTGCGGTGCCAGGGGACCTGCTGGGCCGGCTGCCCCGCTGCACCCACCTGGGCACGACGGCACAAAGGCATCTCTGTGAGCGTGGTCCGACAAGGTGCCTGCTGCCCGGGCATCGCAAGGCGGCTGGGGATGCCAGCACCCCACAGAGACCCCGCGTGTCCCTGTCGCTGCGTGGAATGGCCCCTCGCAGGGTCCCCTGCTCCCAGCATCCTTGCCGGCTCCCATTCCAATGCAGATTTTGACCTTTCCCGTAAGGCAAGCTGCTCCCTTGCTGCTGCTGCCCTACTTCCAGCCCCCCTCTTTTGCGGCCCCCCCCTCCACCCAGGATTGGGGACAGAGACAGGCAGTACTGGGGTCTCACAGCACTGCAGGAAGGTGGGGATCCTGACCCAGACCCCCCCAGAGTTTCCCACCCTGCTGCTTTGTTATTGTAGGGTCTCCTGCAGGGGCTGTGAGACTGCAGGGTGCCCCCCCCAGCCTGTGCCCCCGGCTGGCACACGTGGGCATCGCACGCAGCGCTGGGTACTGCCGGGCACGTCCCAGGATTTACACCGCGCCGAGGGTCGCATCCTGCACCGGGATACCTGGCCCTGCTGACCCAACGGGATGGGCATGGGGCAAGCGGGGGGCAAAGCACCAGGGCCGGGTGGTGCCTGACAAACCCGTGGGTCCCCATCCCACCATACCTGCTCGTCCACACGGTGGGCGATGGGTCTGGCCCCCTCCGCCAGCTCGGCCGCGCTCATCGGACGGATGCGAAGAGCCACCTGCAAGACACTGGGATGAGCGTGGGGTGGCGGGGAAGGGGACGGGGACACGGGGACACAGACCTGCACGTGAGCCATCGCGGTGGGATCGGGCAGCTGAGGCTTCAGTGGTGCAGTGGCGATGCAGCCCCCAGGACCCCCCCCATGTCAGGCACTGCAATTAGAGGTTCATTTTCCTGGGACGAAAGCAAACACCGCTGGGACCGGCCTTAAAGGGGCAGCCGGGCAGCGTGCCCTCCTGCTGGCACTTGGCCCCTCGCTGACGTGGCTCGGGGATGGCTGAGCCCGCGACGGCACAGCGGGAGCAGGGGGCTGTTGCCGTGCCTCTGTGCACCCGAACTCCCCTGGGTCCCCCGACAACATCTCCCAAACCAGCCCTGCGGTGCCAAGGTGTTCCACGGTGTGACAAGACAGGCAAGCCACACCAGCCACCCTGTCCCACTCGTGTCCCCCCCCCCTCCTGCTGTGTCCCAGCCCTATGGGGTGCAGCCATGGGGTGCCCTAGATCCAGGTGTCCCCACTGCCCCCCGGGGACAGCGTGCCACCGGCCAGGACTCACTGCCAGCTGATGGTCCTCGCCGGGGCATGGGGACTGAGGGGTTCCTGCGAGCAGAGGGTCCCCGTGCAGGGTGCATGGGGTGCACTGATCCCCACAGTGTCCCCTCGTTGCAGCCCTGTCCCTAATTACCCCCACTGCCTACGGGAGGGCTCAGTGGGGCACCTCCAGCCCAGCCTGGTTCTCCCCTCTTCCCTTCCTCAGGCACTGGGGGCTGAGCCCCTCTGCCCTCCCTGGGGGGGGGCTGTGGGCTTGGCCCCAGGAGTTCCCCCCACCCCGGCCTGGGCTGGGAGGCACTGCGGAGGCTGCATCTCCCCATCCCACTTGTCTGCCCCGATCCCCTGGAGCTGTTGAGCCGTACACAACACCGGCAGCGTGGCTGGCTCCTGTTGACGCAGCGGCTGGCACCGTGTGTGGCTCCAGCCACGCTCCGCGCCCTCTCTTGGCTTCGCCCGCATCCCCGTGGCACGGTCAGGATGCCATGAGCTGGATGGAAATGTGCCTGTCCTGCACGGGGCACAGCCCGTGCATGGCTCAGGGACATGCCTTTCCACCTCTCGTTCTTGGTACAATTAGGGCTGGCCCTTCACGAGGCACTTGGCCGAGCTGCAAGGCTGGTGCCCAGCTCCCTTCCCGCAGCTGGGGAAGAACCTGCCCCTTGAGCAGCACTTCCCAGCTCGGGCACTGGCTGTACTGGGACATGGCAGCGTTCAGCTGCGGGCTGGGGGACCACGAGCCCTGTCCCCCACTCAGTCCCACAGCCGCGGATGGAACTCCCTCTCCCGCTCTGTCCACGCTGCCAGGAGAGGACCTGCACCCAGCCGCTACGCCGTGCACCCACCCTGCAGACGCAGGATGGTTTCGACAGCTCCTGCCCACCCTCTACCCCCTTGAGCAGAGCCTGGGGAAGGGTCCTGACAGGAAGGCTCACCCCCAGCCCCTGCACATGGGATGCCGTCCGTGCGATGGCCCCATCCCTCTGCCGACAGCTGTACCATGGGGTGAGCACAGCCGGCGGCTCGTTAATAATTGACAGGTGGGTAGCAGGCAGGGTGGCTGCTAGGCAATACTGGCCAGGCTGTGTTTACCCAGTGCTGATAACCCTGGCCCAGGCACCACAGGCTACTCTCATGGGGATATCAGTGGGTTGGGGGCACAGGGCTTTGCTCAGCATCACTCTCCAGCTGGGAAGAGGCACGGTGCTGCACTGGCATCCCGCTGCTGCCAGCGGCTGCCCTGCTCTGCCCTGCTCCTCGGGCTGGGGACACACCAAGGAACACCCTGCTGCCACGGGCGCTCCACTGGGGTTGGCAGTGGGCTTTGATCCGTGGCTTGGTCCAAGGAGAGGAGATGAAGAGCGAGACGACGTGACTTTCCCACCCTCTGCTCAATCCTGCTGTGACAAAACAGGAAACGTGATGTGGAAAGCTCCTGTTTATTTACCCCAAAGAAAAAAAATCAGGAGGGCAAAGGGCCAGGCAGCATCTGTGACCAACGCGAGGGCTTCTGTGTGACCCACCGGTCATGTTTTGGCTACGGCTCCTGCAGAGGGAGAAGGCGTGGGGTCAGGGAGCTGTGAGGGGTCCTCTGCTCACCACCCCATGGAGGCAGAGACCCCACGAGCTCTGCCCGGCTCAGGGACAGCAGCCTCATCTCCACATGACCCACGGAGCAGCAACCCCAGCAAGGAGGGGAAAAGAAACGCGAAGCTGGAGTGCACTGACCTTGGCAGCATCCTTCTCCTCCTCCTCCTCCTCTTCCTTGTCCTTGGGCAGCTGGCTTTCTTCCCCCTGCGCAGCCGCCGCCTCCTCCTCTCCCGCGCGGTCTTTAACCTGAAAGGCAGAAGCTGATCCCAGTCCCCTGCCCCATGGCAGGGAGTCCCTGCTGCGGTTGCAGGTTCATCCCATCCCCGGTACCTTGCCACCCAGGTGTTGGGTCTCTGCCCGCGCCTGCCTCTGCAGCTCCACTTCAATGACCTCGAAGAACTCTTTGCGGGCACGGTCGAGCACCTCTTGGGGACTCTCCACTGGCCTCTCCTCCACTTCTGACCCCTGGCCCTCCGACCTGGCACGCTCCTTCAGCCGCATTTCCCGGTGCCGGGCCTCCAGGATCTTCTCCCGCTTCGTCTCCCGCTCAAACATCTAGGGCAAGGAAGCCGGGGAGGGGGGAGCTAAGGGGTGCAGGGTGAGCAGGGGACCCCATGGGACAGCCGTGCTCTGTACAGGGAGAGCGCAGGGCTCGCTGGCAGAGCTGTTGTGCCCGGGGCCAGTGACGTGCCAGCAGTGCCGAGGGCTTTGCTGTCACAGCAGCTCATGGCTGAAAGCTCACGTACAGCGGTGGCCAGCATCTTCTCGTTCCTCTGGAGGGTGCAGAGCCCGGAGGAGATTTCCAGCAGGGTGACTGTGCCGAGCTTCGAGCCGCAGCCAACAACGCATCCGTTGTCCTGCAGGCGCAGGCTGGAGAGGGGCTCGTCACAGACCTGGGGAGGGAGGATGGGGAGGCTGGTGGCACTTAGCCCTGCTGTGATGCCCCACGGGGGAATTCAGGCAGGATGAGCTGGCAGAGGCAAATCCACGCAGTTGCCAGTAACAGGAGCCTACGTGCAAATTTTTGGGCGCACTAGGCTCCAGGTACAGCTCAGGGCTGAGGGGACAGATGCTGCTCGATGGAGCTTATCCTGAGCTCCATGCAGACAGGATGGGACCCCATCCCCTGGCTCTGCCTGCTCCGTGCAGGGCAGGGTGGCAGATCTGCCAAGCACCCCGCTGCCGGTGCTGGCCGGGGGCAGCCCCTTGCTCCCCTTCCAGGGTAAGGGGCCCAGAGCCACTGGGCATCCAACCTTCAGGCTGAGGGAGGGGTCGTTCTGTTTGAAGAGGAAGTCCCAGACATCCAGGGTCCCATCGGATCTGGTGGTGAAGAAGACGGCCGGCCTCACAGTGCTCCAGCATCCATCCGTCAGGTAGGAGAGGTGGTACCTGCCAGCAGACCCGACACGGCGGGGATGGGCTCATGGCCTCCATCCCCCTGGGCCCACAGCTGCTGCCTGTGCAGCACCTTCAGCCAAGAGCCCAGGCCCTGGCCCCCTCCGTTCCAGTGCCCTTGGCCATGCTGGCACTGCTCTGCCTTGGTGACCGTCCCACCACCTGAGCCTGACCCGAGCAGACCAGACTCTACTAATCATTTGCCCTGAACATGCTCTTCCACAAAAAAGAAGATTTTTTTGCAGGGCAAACACACACCGACACCTACTTGGTCCACATAATTGATGATTCCTTGATCTCCTCTGACCATATCCGAGCAGTCCAGTCGCCAACCGTCAGGAAGATTTTGGGGTAGAAAGGGTTCCTGGCCAGCGCATAGACAGGTCCGTGGTGGCCACTGTAGGTGCTGGTGATTTTTTCAGGAGGTGTCTTAGCCTTGCGGTTGCAGGCGATGACGATGCCCTGCTCTGTGCCCACCATGAACTTGGTGGGCTGAGGGTGAGAGCAGGAGAGAGCAGCCATCAGCAAGTTGGAGACTCCATGGTGCAGGGGGCAGTGGGGCAGCAAAGGGTCTTGCTGCCTGACCATGGGGGAGCCTGCTGCAGCCACTGCCTGGGGAGGACAGAGCCCTGGGACCTGCCATGATTTGGGGGATTTAGAGATCGAAATGCCAGCAAGACCCTGTGTTTTGGGAGCACATCAACTCCTAATTCTTGAAGATGGGTGAGAACACGCTGCAAGCTGCAGCACAGTGCTTTGGGTCACTCTGGGCATCAGAGGCTTGTGCCGTGCCCCTGGAGCCCTGCCTGCAAGGGTGACCGGGCACTGCCCGCCCGGCTCGGTTCGGCTTGGCTCACCCTCCTGCCCAAGTGAGGATATGGGTTGTGTGCAGGCAGGGTCATCCTGACGGCAGGGCAGGGAGGCTCACCATGGTGGGCTCAAACTCCAGCGTGACGGCACCCAGAGCATTCTCCAGGAGCCCTTTCCGGGTGATGTCCAAGACCAGCATCTCGGTGGGCTCGGCCAGCTTGCGGATGTCCCACCACAGCACCTGCATGGGACAATAAGTGGGAGGGGGCTGCAGGAGCTGCTCCTGGCTCAGCTGCAGGTGCCGGGGAGCTGAGTGTCCTGGAGCCAGGCAGCTTCCCTGTGCCAGCCTGTGCTGCCAGCCTGGGGGTCTAGTTCCCATACTGCCATGGCTGGTGAGGGGCAGCGCAGACAAGGGAAGCTCTTTTGGGGTGTCAGCGCCTGCCAGTGTGGCCCCTGTGTGAGTCCCTGGCACCTTGCCCTGCCCCTGCCCTTTACCTGCCCGTCGGTGGAGGCTGAGAAGCACTCGGTGCCCGTTTTGGACTGCAGCCAGATGGCTCCGTACACGGGGTCCCTGTGGCTGACCTCCACGGCAGACACCTCCACAGGCAGCCCCCCTTTCCTGGTGTCCCAGTAAGCTGGGAAGGAAAAGGAGCTGTCAAGATCTGCACCAGCTCCCTTGCCCAGCTCCTTTGCTTGTCGCTCGTTTTCCGAGGAGATGCTGCCCCACTGCC